AAATCTTTCTATGCTAGAAAACACGTTCAGCTTGCTGATTCTTAGACAGTCAACCAGTGCATTAAACTATCAGTTTGTCCTGGGTGAGCAATTCTGCTATTTAGGCCACCATATCTTGTTTCACTTTATGTATGGAAGCTCACTTAAAATGTTTTAAAATTAAGATAACTGTTAATTAATATGGAAATGGCACGTTCATGGCATCCAGATTTACGCACTAAGCTCTCCTAACCATTAAAAAGGGCCACTGTCAGAGCTGGGAGTGGGTTGCTACTCTAACCATGAGCTGTGCAGGATATATCAGTGCCAACTCTACCTCACTCCAAGTGATGCCACTTATCTGAAATGAAAGTCTCCCCATACTTTGCAGAAAACGGTTTGCTCCTGTAAAGCATCAACATTAGAATTAAGAGATCTTTACAGTAAGGTTCAAGATCTTTACAGTACGGTTCGAGAAAATGCTGCAGCTGCTGTTACAAAAGGCTTAGGGCGACTTACAAATGAGAATGAAACGACATATATAAGGCATGAGAAACAAAGCAAGTAAATACCAACAGAATATTAAACTACATAGCAATGCCTGCTAAATAAGATCCCAGCCTGACGAATGCCTGCCCAAATAGGAAGGTCTTACAGTATTTTCAGATAATGTCCAGGATGAGGGCCTGGCAGGCCGCAAGAAGAGAGCCCAGAGTTGAGGAGCAACTACAGAGAATGCCCTCCTATGTCGTTTTGCCAAGTGTATTTGGTGCACGGATGCCCTTTCCCATCCTTCCTCCTGTTACTTTTTGCTGTGTATCTTATTTTGTCCCTGGCACACGCACTGAACCTTGGAGGGTTCAGAGCAACACCTGCCCCACATATAAAATGTATCCTGAATTTATTTTGGGTATGATGACCCAAGCGCAATGCTGCAAGGTCTGTTGGGACACAGCATGCATGTGCAAAAGTGCCTATCTGGTACTGCTGTTCTTCTGAATGGGCAGAGAAGTGAAAAGTGTTGAGATTCCTGTTCAAAGGGCTCTCTGCTCATCTGATACAGGCACATGCAGTCAGCTAGAAACTAGCTTTATCTATTTGAAGGGAACTCCTAAAACAAAGACTTTTTCAGGGCACCAGAGCTCCGATTGAAAGGGTTGACAATAGCGGCCAAAGTTTTGCTACAGAGACAGTGGGCTACAAATTTTATTTTTCTATTATAGGGAAATCTGTGCTCCTGCAGGTAATGTCTACAGGGGTAGTCAGACCATGGCTCCCAGGAAGTTTAAATGTGGCTTCTGAAGGAAGAGAGGCAGTTGATTAAAAACATTATTTTTCTCTCTCTCTTCTTTTATTATTCTGTTTTTTATTCTCTTCAGTTCTTGATTATTTATTCTAAAAGTCATTATCTGAGCTGGAGTGCTGTGCTCAGATCGCTGAGACTGGGGCACACATCTCAGAAGTGGAGTCCTGTGGCTCACAGCTGTGTCAAGAGTTTTGTTTGAAGCTAGATGGTTAGGAAACTTGGCTACCCCTTGTCTATTCTGTGACTGCCTTTGGCAGACGGACCTGAGCTAACTTTAAATTAGCTAGATGGGGTACTGCCAGCAATATATCCCCTGCAGCATGGAGCTCAGCACAGGTAAGCCTCCCCAGTATTTACCCAGCTTCTCAGACAGGTTTTGCAGTCCACGCTGTGATCCATGCTGCTGCAGCTACTCAGCTGGCAGCATCGAGCTACCTTGTTTAAAAGCAGCCCAGATATGTTTAAGCTACAGTCACTGCAGTGAAGACATGCTCAATCACAATTTCAGGACATTGCCATATATCCTGAAGCTTTGTTGCCAAAGGACAGGATCAATAGTGTCAAATGCTTGCAGGACACTCCAGTGGAAGATGTACAGATTAGGGACAGGAGGAGATCATGCATTAAAGCAACTACAACTGGACCATGCCTTAGCCAGCAGATCAACAGCAAGGGATCTTGGATAATGGTAGCTCATGGGCAGCAAAAGCGTTTTCTTGTTTGTTCCACAATTTCTTTAGCATTGGTGTGTTGCAGGGGTATCAGGCATTCGGCCTACAGAGACCTTGAGAGGCCAGGAATTTGGGGGCAGGACCCACCACCAAATTCCAGGGTACATAGCATCACTGAAGTCGTATTTTAGTGGTATTGGGGTAACAAAAGGATGTGGTAACTCCCACGATTCCCTGGTGCCACTTGTCTCACTAGCAAAGGTAGGTTTGGATCTGGCTCGGAAGGAGCTCCACAGGCCAGATCCAGCCTGGGAAACCAAATATGACTGACACCCCAGGTCTATTACAAACTTTAACATGGCTTATTGTTCCTAGCAGACTCAGTGACTGTACTCTTCGAAAGTGCAGGAAGAACAGGGCTCAGTCACACACTGGCAGCATCTGGGAAAAAAAAGAAAAAAACCCCCCAAAATCTGTAAGGTACAATTTCAGTCCCTTTACAGAAAAGGAGCACTCACCTTCCAAATTCTAACACTGTATCACTTTTACTGTCTTGGGCTGTTCCACTGGTTTGGTAGAACAGTGACAGTGGGAAGCACTGACATTAGTTTTTGAACAAATGAACTATAAAGTCACATTTCTGAGGCAATTTCACTTCTTGGTGGTCATTTCAAAGTTTGGGTGTTCATTTTCTGTTTTAATTTCTGACATACAGGTTAGAGACGCTACCTGAAAAATACAGTGTCTTGCATGCATCTTCCCTGCCTGTCTCTCCTCTCCCATCTTCCTTTTAGTTAAGAAAAAACACCCAGAGACTAAGGGTGCCTACAGACATTCAGGGCCCTGCTCTAACTCATGGCACTTTACATAAAGTACCACGAATTAAAGCATGCCCCTACTCCCAACCCAACGGATGTTGCGTGCTCTCACCACGTATAGACCTTTCAGAACAAGGACTGAAGTGCTTCAAAGCTGGAGGCTGCTGTGTCTAACTCCCAGAGTGGAAGCCAGAATGGTGAGCTCCACGGTGCATGGGAGACTCAGTGCTTCAGAACAGGGCCCAACAACTGGTATACAGAGCAGCAAGCTGCTTAAAGTTAGCATGCCAGCTCTAGGGGCTACTCAGCAAGCCAAATGGGAAAACACCCTTCAGGCACCTTGCTGAAGGCTGCAGATAGGTACCTTTATCTGCTCAGGTTCCACAAACCAGAACCCTCCCCTAAAGAAGGGTTTCTTTCAAATAAGTGAGTACAGCCACCGTTTCCTTTTTAAGTGCAGCTGAACAAAGAAGTGCTACTGGTGTCATCATGGGTCCACCTTTTATATAGTAACATAATGGTTAAGCTGGTCCAGGAAGTGGGAGACCCAGGTTAAAAACCTTCGTCTGCCAAGGAAGTTCAGAGGGGAGATTCAAGCCCACATCTCCTGCTCCCAGCAGAGTGCCCAAACAAGATTAGACTATTCTAGGAAAGGCCAACACTTTCCATCCCTTCTGTGGGAGCTGCGTTCCTGTGCAGAAAGCATACAGTTCATTGAGCCAGACAGTGATTGAGAGCATGAGAAAGCACGACTCTACAGCCAGGGTGGCCAATGCACAGCATGTGGGTCACAAGAAGCAGCTGCATGTGGCAGGTGAGCTCCCTTGCACCCCAGGGTGCAAACTCTATCAAGGACATCTCTGAGGAGCAGGGATCAGAGGGGCATTCAGGGAGGGTTGCAGTTCAACTTGTGGCATGCTTGCCAAAAAGAGTGGCTGTCAATTGCTCAGTTATGGGTTGCAGTACTTACACCAGGATAGTTTTTGCATTTACACTGAATGCTTGTTGGATAAAATACATAAAAGTCCTGGACAGAGGCGCCAGAACCTAGACAAGAGGCTTTCTGCAGGGATTCTTCCAGGAAAGAAAAATTGACAGGTAAAGAATGGTACAATGAGATCCAAACAGAAGCATGTATTTCTATTCTTCATTTTCTCCTCCTTTATGTGATGTCAGAGTATAAACAGGCAAACATCTTTATAAATAACATGCGAAACATGATCATGTTTCAGATGTATTTCAAGTAATTACCAGGGTAACATTTTACAGCTGTGGTCTGGAGATGCTTGTGGTAGAAACAATATTATCTCTAGCAAAGAACTGAACTGAACTAAACATTTACAATTCTGACCAAAAAAAGCCACCGCTGCCAGATCAGCACTGCATATCCTCAAATCCTCTCTGGACACAAGGTTACTAGCACGTGGCCACATCTCATCTCCTAGGAGGTTCTCTAACACCTGTAAAGCCAGAGCAGCAGATAATAAGCAGCAGAGGGTGTGCATGGGTGTCCGTGTGTATAGTGACCCATAGTTGTGATTAAACAAGATACTGCAAGCTCAGCTTAGAATACACGTTTGTTCCCGAACTGCTTAATGTCAGAGGTATATTGCACATTACACAACAGATGCATTTATCTACTTTCAATAAAACCAAGCCACCTCTTTGCTCTATGTTCATCTAGCACAGAATACAAATTATTCTTCCAATGTGCTGTGAGCAGAGCTTTCCTGAATAGTCTTTGTTTTAAATGCTTGGTGTGGTGAGGAACTGGATGACTCAGGGAATTGACAATGTACACAGCATTCCACCTATAGGTCAATGCTCTGATGCAATTCAAATTGATAGCGACTGAAAGTTGTTATCTAATGGCTTTTTGGCAGTCTCCAAGTGGTAGGTATCTTCCCAACAATGCCACTAGTGTCCCACTAACACCGTCTGTGTTTAACATCACCAGGGAGGACCACATGCATCAGGGAGGCTGAGGGGAGAGGGCAGGAGTGGCTCTAGGAGGGCTGCACTTGCATCCCACTTTGATTCCTGCTCCACCCAAAATTTAAAACCAACTGCTTGGCACTGACAGCAGTATATCAAATCGGGCAGTGCCTTCACGGCTCATTATCATCTACCTGATCCTTTCTAGACTCCTCAGTCCACAGGTGCTAATGGCCCTCTCTCCTTTGTAATGCAATGGTCTCGATGTCCCACCCATCAAGCTGGCCTTACCTGCTGCAACTTCTGCTGGCCGCTCCTGATAACGAAGCTCCTATTTCATAGCCCTGCAGGTGGTTTTGAACTTATTCCAATCAAGTTACATTTGTTTTCACTTCTATCTTAAACTCAATAATCCAGTCCAAGCCCTTAGCTATCAGTCTAGTTTCTAGTTTGCTTTTAACTGAGAAAACAGAGGTGCTGTTTTAGAAGGGACGATGCACCTCGCCCTCTGCACCCCGTTCTCCAACTGTCTAGCTCCCCCTTTGGAGAGGGATCTTGCAAGCAAACTAAACTCGCCCGGGCGACACCTCTGCCTGCAGCCCCGGGGCTCTCAACCTTTTGTGGCCCGCAACCCCCCTCCCCAGCTCAAGTGCCCCAGCAGGGAGGAGCCCTCGGCCGGCTCTGCCCCGGGGGCATCCCGCAGCGACCCCGCCCGGCTGGCGGGCCGGAGGAGCCGAGCGGACCCTCCTCCCCGCCGCGCCTGCACTTG